AATGTCAATGATATTCCTCGAGTAAATTCTTCCTTGAGTAGAGTTCACAGCGACATGATTTGTGATTTTTACTGGGATGCAATCTACATGCGTGGCTTTGAGGAAAATCTGTGCAGTTTTAAGATTATTGGCTTTGAGCAGGAGATCGCCGGATCTTAGCGGGGTAACATCTGTGTAATCTCGTGATATGGCGTTGATTCCTTTCTCGATTTAGAAGACGTTGTAGGAAGCTATTGGTCGGATTGGCTCTGCTGAGTTGGCGAGGGCGGGGATGACCAAGAAACGCGGAATGTGGTCATCGTTTTGACGGGTCTCTGGGAGCAGGGGGAAGTCGGTTGTTCTAATTCTCTTGTTTCGGAAAATTGGCGTGTCGAGATACTGGTCAGGATTTAGGTCCTTAAACCTGTTGGTGTTGGGATCGATCCCGTTCATCCCTTCGCGAGTGCGCACTTTCAGTGCTGAGCTGGTACACCTGCTTATTTATTTCTTTTGTTCTAATTAACTGTCGGTTTGAACTTTTTTTGGAGTGCGTTTACGCGAAAGTATGTAAGTACGTGTGTAGAGCTTAAGCTTTGCACAAAACTAAGAAACTAACGCAGAAGCTGTGGGTAAGAGTAGTAATCGCGACGGGAGACAACGATGCTTAAGCGGCGATTGCCTGAACGTTACTGTGCCCCAATAAATTAAAAACAAATAAATACGCTATAGTCTCCAAAATAGTGTCAAATATTGCTAGAACTTGTAATTTAATTAAAAAAAGTGCTAATAATCGCGTGGTATATTTTTAAATTTGTATGATGCCATATGACATCAATAATATTTGAAGGAGCTGAAATCCGCGCCAGCAAATAACGATATATTTGTACTGGTAAATTGCAACTGGTAAATTTTTTTAATGAATTATTAAATCTATGCATGTTCCAACTTATTTTACTGAATTTGTGTAGTGTTATTTAATTTAATTTAAATAAAAAACCATATTAAAAAATCTTTGCGTATTTTTTACACCAATTAGTACAAATGATGCCATATGGCGTCATATTAAAAAACACTTTAGAATCATTATTAAGTATTAAGGATCATTTAATAAAAAATCGGTTTTTTAAAGCCCGAATCTAAAAAGATGTACCGAAAGGGTTAACATAACGGTATATTTTTCTTCTTTCGAAAACAAAAGTGGCTGAGATTTCCACTAATGGACCATTTCCTATTTCAGGCAAAGTACTAAAGTTAGCAAGTTACAGTAAAATGAGAACAGATGTAGAAGGGTACGGGAATGCAAAAAGCAATATTTCCTGCACAAACATCAGTCGGTTTGTTTACATTTCATTGGTACAACACTGATTTGGCTGAAAATCAGTAAATAGTTATTAAAAACTATACAATTAAGGATAATGGCGTACATATTAAAATAATTCGTTGTTTACTTCCATCTTTGCTTGCACCGCGTTGTTTTTGTTTACAAATGCTACCCTGCCTATCATTTGACACTTTTCATGAACTTGAAGGAACGAAAAACTTCGGGCAAAATCCTGTAACTTCTGATTTTGAAGAGTTGCTGCCTTACTCGCTCAATAGTGTTCCCAGTTAAAGAAATTCTTGTGTACGGGAACGACTTCCTGTAATTTCATACTTAGACTGTTCCTTTGAACTTCGGACTGTCAAACAACAATTTTACTCTCTCAAGTCAGAGTAACAGGAGAACAGAAGTGCACCGGAACGCAAAAAGCTTTATTTCTCGGTCGGTCTGTTTACATGTCATTGGTACAACACTGATTTGGCAGAAATATCACTAAATAATTATTAAAATCTGTACATATTCAAATATTTCGTGTTTACTTCCATTTTTTGACAAATATAAGGTTCTTTGCTTTCACCGCTTTGTTTTTGTTTGCACAAGCGCTCTTCAGAGGTGAAAACCGTACGGTAGTAGGTGACTTTAATGCGCACCACGATCTTTGGCACTCAAGCCTGTCAAACGATCGTAGGGGAACAGACTTGGCTGAGCAGATAGACGACTCGACATTCTGCACAATGAACGACGACGCACCCACCAGGATTATGGGTAACTGCAGCAGCTCGCCAGACATCACCATAGTCAGCGCTGGTCTGATAAACAGCATAACATGGCGACCTATGCTGACTTTAGCATCAGACCATCTACCCATAGTCATCTCGATAGATAAACCAACCGACTTTGCCTCCGCTAAATACCGGACCTATATCAACTTCTCTAAAGCTGATTGGAAAGGTTACGCGGAGTTTACTGAAAACACCTTTACTGCGCTTCCTACACTAACCGACGTCCATCTCGGTGAATGTAAGTTCCGCAGGGCTGTCACTGCTGCTGCAGCTCGCTTCATACCGGCTGGATGTATAACGGACCCACGTCCAATCTTCCCTGCCGAAGCGGCTGTTCTATCCGATGACTGTGATAGCCTTCGTCAGGCCGATCCCGGAGATCCCCGTATCAGGGATCTCAACGCGGAGATTCGGCAACTAGTAAACGTACATAAGCGAAAGAAGTGGGAAAGGTATCTGAAGACCTGTAACTTCACCTCTGGTGTGAGTAAGCTTTGGCCAACCGTGAGGTCACTGTCCAATCCGACGAAGCATGACGACAGAGTCGAAATTTCTTTCGGCGACCATGCTTCGTCGGACCCGGAGCGATGCGCGAGCTATTTTAGCCGGCAGTTGATACTGCATCCCCCGGCGGACAAAGCCAAGCGTCGAGTGACCAGATGGTTGCACAAAGTGCCAACAACCTGTGTCGCCTTGCTATCACTTGCGGTGAAGTTCAGGTGGTCATCGGGAAGGCGAAAGCCTCCAAAGCCATGGGTCCCAAAGGAACATGAATGCTGATGCTGAAAAATTTGGGTCCTGCGGGGGTAGCGTACCTAACGGAGGTCCTCAATTTGTCTATGGCCACTCTCATCATCACAGACATCTGGAAGGTGGGGAGAGTGGTCCCACTGCTCAAACCGGGGAAACCTGCAACAAAGGAAATTCTTATCGGCCGATAACACTCCTTTCCCCGGTAGCGAAGACACTCGAGGCCCTGTTTCTCCCGTATTTCACAAACCACTTGACTCCAGCGAAGCATCAGCATGGTTTCCGTAAAGTGCACAGTACAACAACGGCACTTAACGCCATAAACACTCAGATAACTCGTGGCCTTAACCGAAACCGTCCCTGTGAGAGAACGATTCTAGTAGCGTTGGACCTGTCAAAGGCTTTTGACACTGTCGGCCATTCCACGCTACTAGAAGATATAGAGGCTTCCTCTCTCCCACAGAGGCTCAAACGGTGGTCGCCATATTATCTGAGTGGTCGACACTCGTCGGTAATGTTTAGAGACAAATCGAGCAAACTTAGAAAAATAAAACAGGGGGGTTCCACATGGTGGTGTCCTTTCCCCGATACTGTTTAATTTTTACATTTCAAAGCTTCCTCAACCACCAGAGGGAGTCTCGATTGTCTCTTACGCCGACGATTGCTCGATCATGGCGACTGGGAATGGAATTGATGACCTGTGTTCGAAAGTAAACGGGTATCTCTCCGAACTTTCTCGCTTCTTCACTGCAAAGTGTCTAGCCCTCTCCCCTACGAAATCCTCTGCGACCTTGTTCACCACCTGGACGAATGAGGTCATATTACCGCTGGGAATTCACGTCGATGATACACCAGTTCCCACGGTGAATAATGCCAAAATACTCGGAGTAACATTCGACAGCCTGCTCTCCTTCTCTGCGCACGAAACCGCCATTGTCAATAAAGTACAGAGCCGCAACAAGGTCCTCAAGTCGCTAGCCGGCAGTACTTGGGGCAAAGACAAAGAAACGTTGCTGGTACCATACAAGACAATAGGCCGGCCGGTTTTAAACTACGCAGCGCCAGTGTGGTCGCCGGGGACTAGTAGGACGCAGTGGACGAAGCTACAGACTGTACATAATACCGCACTCAGGACAGCGACAGGATGCCTCCTGATGTCGCCCGAACATCACCTCCACAACTAGGCACAAATGGTCCCCATAAAGGAGCACAACATAATGCTCTGCAAGCAGTTCCTGATCGGGAGCCACAGAAATGGCCACCCAAACAGAGAGCTGCTTGCAGAGAAATGAACTGACGGACGAAGTCCAGAGGTTCATCAAGCAACCTCTGGACCCGTCAGCTTACCGACTGGCCCCGAACGGCATTCACAGGGAGCCAGGCTCGAGTTATGTAGATTCTAGACCTGTGAATGCCGTTCTAGGCATACCGCCACCGGACATAGACGAGACGGAGCTTCATCTGCCTCGGGAGACATGAACGACAATAGCCCAACTCCGCTCTGGCTACTGCAGCAGGTTAAACTCCTACCTGAGTAGATTGAATGAGGATGTGCCATGTGTTCGGCTGCAAAAGTCGGTTGAGTTCAGACGTGTTTTTATCGCTCCGCAAACTTTTCGAGTTTTACTGTCGCTTTTTAATTTAAATATTTATGGACATGGTGGCATTGCTAATAATGAGATAGGGACTCTGTTAAGCAAACTGAATGCTCATTAAAAATCATCAAAATATCGTTTTAATTATGCCTTGTCTATGCGGACAAAAGGTTGATCGTGCTCAACCGAAAGTGCAGAAAGTGCAATGTGAGAAATGCAAAGAAATTTTCCACATCAGTTGTGTTGGTATTAATCCGGCTGACCTCGAGTTTTTGCTCTCGGCTGGTAAACCGTTTTTTGCAAAGCTTCTATGGATAAGCGTCGCGCTTCTTTACACTCGCCTCCCGCATCCACCGCTCTGGATGAGAATATTATTGCCGAACTTGCTTTGAATGCTAGTGCTGCAATTCCGCAACCGCAGCCGTACTCTCAGAAAATCATCTACGACTCCAGCTGAAAATGCGTATAAGCAACAATTAACACTACAATCTTTATTTAAGGAAATGTGCGCTCTTAGAGCTAAGAATGCGCGTGTGATTTCTCTTGTTAATGCTTTGCACGAAGATAAAACACAACAAATCAAAAAAATTGAGTTGTTGAGTTGAAAGAGTTGTTAACATTATACAACTCAATGCCGAAATTAAAAATCTTCGATGCGCTGTTAACAGTTTTACTAAGCACAACATAATCAATCCTAGTGGTGTAAACAAACCTGTCACAAATGCATTGAGTACGAAGACTTCGTCGGCAAATGGATCGCCACTGCCAGCCGTTTCGCTTCGTGCAAATTCTAATGCTGCTTCTGTTGTTTATACTAACACTTCTACTAATACGACCAATTCTTCCCCTACTGTTACTGCCAATGTTGGTTGTGCAAACACCAATATTATCATGTCCACTGCTGCTACTGCTGGGAATGCAAACGTCCTCATGCCGGCGAGTACCTACGCCGCTGCTGCCTCTCGCGCCGGTACAACAGTTCCTATTGCTGACATTCATACTGCTGCTTCTTCTTCTATCAACTCCACCGCAGCTGATGTAAACATTAATACTCTCATGCCAACCGCTGCTAATAATGCCAATGGTAATGCCAACGATGCTGCACCCAGTGAGGGAAGAAATACACAAAACAAAGTGAAAAAAGCACGCGCTACCGTTTGTGTTGGTAAGAATGATAACTCTGAGCTCGACGTAGTCGCCCAGAAAAGATGGATTCACCTCTCTTTGTTTAAAAACACTGTTAAAGAAGACCATATTATCTCTTACGTTACAAAGCACACTGGAATCAGTAGAAATTATTTATCTTGCTCTACGCTAGTGAAGAAAGATGCAAATGTAAATGAATTAAGAAGCATAAACTTTAAACTGGAGTCTCTCCTTGTTTTTATAATGCTGTATTTAACGCAAAGTTATGGACAACAAATATCAAAGTTCGACCATTCCGGTTTTTTCAAAAGGAAGGGTAGAAAGACATAGCAGGCTAAGAGACGGCCAACTCTCTATTACTTCTTCTTGCTCAGCGTCACTTAAGTCATTTTCATTATACTATCAAAATGCAAGTGGTACCGAACGAAATCCATCGATTTAGGATCGCGACATCACTACGTGACTATGATATGATTGCTATAACAGAAACCTGGCTATGCGAGCAAATTTCCACCTCAGAGTTTTTTGATAATCATTATACTGTTTATCGCCATGATAGACGCCCTACTGCTAGTGGTTGCGTTCGTGGAGGGGGAGTGTTATTAGCAGTTAAATCAAGCCTTCATAGCAGATTAGTAGAATTACCATTTGCCGATAAGTTAATCGAGCAAGTTTGTATAGTTGTATCATTTTCAAATGACAAATGCATTTATTTCTTTGTATCCTATATACCGCCTAACTCTAGTTTAAGCGTTTATGAGCAGCATATCAACAACATCAAATTTATTGCTGAATCCATCGACTTTAATCAGCAGATAATTGTTATGGGTGATTTTAACTTACCTAACATTATATGGTCACTTGACGATGGTTGGCTGTTACCCTTTAGTATCAAATCTGAAACTGAATCTTCTGTAACTAGTTTTTTCTTATCTAATAACTTTCAGCAATTAAATTCATTTGCAAATCTAATGGAAAATTACTTGATTTAGTCTTCACAACAGAAGATCTCAAGTCAACAAACTTGTCACCTATATCATGTACAACGACGCATCATAAAGCTTTGACCACTAAGTTTGAATTTCTTAGTTATCAGCGGCTTAATAAGAGCCCTCAACCTATATTATGTTTTAGAAAAGCTAATTTCGATGCTTTAAACTCCTTTTTATATGGTATGAATAGGGATTTCTTAGATTTAATGAAAGATCCATGTTTAATATATGAAAATATTTTCGACATTTTTTCCCACGCTGTCACTAAATTTGTCCCTTCGAAATCTTCTCTTCCCACTAGTAAGCCGCCTTGGTTTAATGCGAAATTAAGCCATTTAAAAAATGTTAAAAATAAAGCTCTGAAAAAATTCAGAAGCACTAATCTTCCCAAGGATCTTCAGAGTTTTAACCACATTCGAAGCGAATTTGACCAACTCCATAAACAGCTCTTCAGGCAGTATATATCTAAAGTTCAGTGCGACTTGATACCAAATCCGTCCTCATTCTGGAATTACGTAAATTCTAGGCGGAATTCGACTGGCATTCCTGATCAAATGGAATATAATGGCTGCGTGTCTAATACCACGGAAGAATCTTGCATTTATTTGCTTCATTCTTCCAAGAAGTATATGAAAGCTACGAACCATGTAATATTTCTATTAACTCAATGCCCATCGATGATATTGACACGTTTTTTATTACCGATGAAGACGTTACAAATTCAATCTTAGACCTCAAACCAAGCTTTAATTATAACTCTAACGAGTTTCCCCCAGTATTTTTTATTCGTTGTGTGGAAAATGTAGTAAAACCAATTACCACACTCTTTAAAACATGTTTGAGACTGGGAACGTTTTTAGGCTGTTGGAATATGTGTTCTATTGAACCTATCTTTAAATCTGGCGACGAAAGTTGTATCTCCAACTATCGAGCCATAGTAAAGCAAGTGGTTTTTTCAAAATCTTTGATCACCTTATTAATAAAAAGCTACTTTCACACGTTCGTTATTCCCTAACTAGCTGCCAACACGGGTTTTTGCCTGGTAAATCTACAGTTACCAACTTGTCTCTTATTTCAAACAACATTATTACTGCTATGGAACAACATACCCATTTTTCACAGGCTTTTGACAAAGTCGACCATAACATGCTTTTATTTAAGCTCAATAAATTTGGTGTGTCCGGCACATTATTGAATTTCTTCAGAAGTTTTCTAATCGGTAGAAAGTTATTGGTGAGAATAGGTTCAGCGAGCTCCAACATTGAAGTCAATGCTACATCGGGTATACCTCAAGGAACCCACATAGGCCCTTTATTATTCTTACTTTTTATAAACGATCTACCGTCGGATATCCTATCGTCGAAATGCTTAATGTTTGCAGACGATGTTAAAATATTCCTCAATATCAACTGTCCGCTGGATTGTATAAAACTTCAGTATGATTTAAAAGCGTTTTTGAATTGGTGTACCACCAATAATCTAAGTCTCAACATCAGTAAGTGTTGTATTGTCTCATATACCCGTCGCGCATATATCAGGATTTTCAACTATTCTCTAAATGGTGTTGATTTATTGCGTAAATCCGAAATGAAGGATTTGGGAATTATGTTTGACACTAAGCTTACTTTTTCAAAACACATTGATTTAGTCTCGTCTAAAGCCTACTCGATGGTGGGATTCATAATGAGGAACACCAAAAATTTTAAGGACCCTATGACTCTTAAAGCACTTTATGTCGCTCTGGTTCGTAGTATTTTAGAATATGGGGCGATAATATGGAACCCATACTATGCAAAGCACTCTGACAGAATAGAGAAAATTCAAAGGAAATTTACCTTTTTAAATTTTAATATTTTAATAGGCTTGTCCGATCTTGCATCCTTTAGTGCAAATAAAACAAAGTTATTCCACTATTGTTGCCCAACGTTTCGCTAAACTCATTAGCATCTTCAGGGGCTGGTTGTTTATTTTCAAGAAATTTCTATTATAACATATTTAATTACTTAATTTTAATTCGGTACCATCTATTGTGGTAGTCTTGTCAAGACTAGATGCTAATGAGTTTAGCGAAACGTTGGGCAACAATAGTGGAATAACTTTGTTTTATTTGCACTAAAGGATGCAAGATCGGACAAGCCTATTAAAATATTAAAATTTAAAAAACATAAATACGAACCGATCGGAACCCAAAAATAGATGGAAATTTACCAGATTTGCTGTGAAAAAATTGTTTAACGGCCACGATATTCCAGAATACACCTCAAGGCGGAAACTCCTTGGTCTCCAATCCTTAGATGACAGGAGGTCGTATTTGTCGCTGATATTTGCATATAATATTCTATTTGGCAGCATTGTCTGCCCGGAGATATCTAATCTTTTTCAAATTCATGAATC